ACGCCTTCTGGTTTTTTAAGTGTCTTTTTTTTTTTTGAGACAGAGTCTCACTTTGTTGCCCAGGCTAGAGTGAGTGCCGTGGCGTCAGCCTAGTCTCACAGCAACCTCAAACGTCCTGGGCTCAAGCCGATCCTTCCTGCCTCAGCCTCCGAGTAGCTGGGACTACAGGCATGTGCCACCCATGCCGCGGCTAGTTTTTTCGTATTATATATTAGTTGCCAATTAATTTCTTCTCTTTATAAGAGAGACGGCGTCTCCCTCTTGCTCATGCTGTTTCGAACTCCTGACCTCGAGCAAGTCTGCCGACCTCGGCCTCCCAGGAGTGCTAGGATTACAGGCGCTGAGCCACCGGGCGCGGCGCCGTCCTACAAAAGTCTTGTCAAAGAATGAAGCCGGAGGATTTGTGCTACCTGATTGCAAGACTTTCCGTAAAACCAGAGAAGACCCAGGGGTGTCGGCACAAGGAGGACGGAGGGTTGATGGACTGGAACGATGGCCCCACGGCGGACGCACACTGTGGGTAGGGTTGATTCCACGGAATTAAAGATGAGGCCCATCAAGGACCCGCTGAGAAAACGAGTTGCCGAGCTGGAGCCGGGGGCGGGAATCATAAAGCACATCTGACTTGCATCCAGATGATGTGAGAGCTCCCGGAATCCAAGAGGACAAAAGACAGTGCGCTTTCAGGAACGGACAGAAGTCTTGAGCAATGAGGACGGGGAAGGACCCTCGGTGGCATTAGTCACGAGGGGAGCGCGGAGTGGGACCGCGGCGCTATCTCGCTGCCCGCCCCTCAGCGTCTGAGACCGCAGAGACAGCGGCCAGCGCTGTGGACGAGGAGCAGCTGTGACTTGCGCCGGCTGCCGGGAACGGGGCGCTCCTCGGCAGGGGTGGGGGACATCTGGCGGCTGCTGGGGAAGTGGAACACATGCTTGCCCTTTGACCCAGCAACTCCCGTCCGGCTGGAATCTCATTCCCGAAAGCAATGAAAGCATGTGCCCCCCCCCCCCCCCCCCGTGCACACAAGACTGGAGTGCGCGTGTGCCGGCTTCTACTTGCAGTGACCCGGACTTGGAAGCAGCCCAGACGCCCGCCAGACGGCAGAGTTGCCGGCTTCTACTTGCAGTGACCCGGACTTGGAAGCAGCCCAGACGCCCGCCAGACGGCAGAGTGGAGGACAGATTGGGGCCGTGCTGCGGATCAGTGCCTGGCAGTGGGCGTGGCGACCGGGCGGTGTGGCCGGCAATGAGCCAGACACAACGGCGGGCACGATGCACGGCACGCCGGCGCTCCGCGCAGACAGGACCCATCTCGGGTGGAGAGCGGCCGGGCGGTGACTGTGGAAGGGCTGGGGGAGCTTTCAGGGGAGCTGAGGCGAGGTTGTCTCCAGTGTGGTGCAGGGTGTGATCTGCCCAGGTGCGTCCGTCTGTCCGGACCTTGCGGCGACGGCTGCGTTTCGGCCATTGCAGACCCCAGTGGAGCCGGGGAGGGGAAGCTGCCCGCGGCCTGCCTGCTGGCTGGCGACACACAGCAGGTGTTCTGTACGTGCAGGGCTGCACCTGCACCTGTGGAGCCTGTCCTACCTGCACATGGGGCCAGGGGAGGGCGGCGGGGAAGTGCCTGTGCGCCCCCCACACACACACCAAGCACCCCGTCTAGGTCCACACGACTGCGAAGCCTCATCTGTCCGGGAAGCTCCACTCGGGGTGTCCCTGCCCCACCCCCTCCTTAAGCACCACCGTGCTCGCTCATCAGGCTCCTGGTGGGGCTGGAGCCCCCCACCCAGACCCACAGATCCACGCTGTCTCCCTTGCCCCCCGAGGCCTGCCCGCAGAGCTGCACCCACGTGAGCACGCAGCAGGTGAACACGTGACCGGGCACAGGCGGGAGGCTCGGAGCGAGGGGCGTCCCTGTCGGCTCCCCGCCGTCAAGTGGCGAGGAGCCTGGGTGCACGTGGCCATCTCGGGCGCCAGCCGTGGCGATTCGTGGCACGGGCTGCACAGACGTCCTCGTTGAAAGGGGTTTGGGGGACAGTCCCAGACCCAGGCTGTCCCCACGCAGGGCTGTCTGCCGTCCACGCTGGGTGACCGTGGCGCCCCTTGCCCGGCCCAGCTTGCAGCCATTCTCATCCACTTCATTGGCTCTCGGAATATTTAGCAGCCAGCTCCCGCCCCCGCCCCGCTTCCGTCCACCCGCCCTCCGTCTCCCTGCACTGTGCGAAGCCGCTGTCTGTCGCCAGGGCGTGGGGGCCTCGCCTGCCCCTGTGCTGTCCGGCCCAGCAGCCCGGAAGCTCCCTGTCTCGCCTCCGTTCCGGGCGTCGGAGTTCCTGGCAGGCTGTGGGCGTCCGGGGCTGCACCTGCTGAAAGGAGCCCCGCAGCCCCTCGCCTAGAACCCGCTGCCCGTGCACGGAGTGGGGGGCGGTGTCCTTGGGGACAGCGTGTGGGGAGGCTCGGGGTCCTGCAGGGAGGGCGCGGGGGCTTTGCGGGGCCCCCTCTGGCTGCCTGTGCCGTCCTCGAACAGAGACACACCCTCACCCGGTCCCCCGGCCTGAGAGAGTGAGAGGGTGCAGGTCTCACCCCGCCCCGGCCTCCCTCTCTCCGTGCCCCTGCGTGCTGGCCGCTGGGGGTGGGTGGGCGGGTGCCCCGCGGCCTTTCCGTGCCTCCTGGGAGTGAGCTTTGCCGGCCCCACCGTGAGCCCTGGCTGTGAGGTGCTCCCCGGCTGTTAGGTGCTCCCAGGCTGTGAGGTGCTCCCCGGCTGTGAGGTGCTCCCAGGCTGTGAGGTGCTCCCCGGCTGTGAGGTGCTCCCAGGCTGTGAGGTGCTGAGGTGCTCCCCGGCTGTGAGGTGCTCCCAGGCTGTGAGGTGCTCCCCGGCTGTGAGGTGCTCCCCGGCTGTGAGGTGCTCCCAGGCTGTGAGGTGCTCCTTGGTTGTAAGGTGCTCCCCGGCTGTGAGGTGCTCCCAGGCTGTGAGGTGCTCCCCGGCTGTGAGATGCTCCCCGGCTGTGAGGTGCTCCTTGGTTGTAAGGTGCTCCCCGGCTGTGAGGTGCTCCCCGGCTGTGAGGTGCTCCCCGCACAGAGCTGAGGGCCTGCCCTCCATGCACCCCACGGCAGTGAGGTGCTCCCTTGCTGTGAGGTGCTCCCCGGCTGTGAGGTGCTCCCCGGCTGTGAGGTGCTCCCCGCACAGAGCTGAGGGCCTGCCCTCCATGCACCCCACGGCAGAGCCAAAGACCTCGGCCGCCGGGGCCTGGGGTGCTCCTGCCCCTGAGCTCTGGGCGCAGTGACCCCCAAGTGGGGCCTGTGGGGGCGGGCGGTGGGTGGATTGGCTCATTTGCTGGCTCCGTGGAAACTTGGCTGAGTACCTGCCCATGTCGGGGGTGGAGGTTCAGAAGGGATGAAGCTGATTTCGTCCAGGGAGATGCGTGGGTCAGCAGCCACTGTCAGACTCACTGGACTTACAGCCGAGGACCCGCACGGGAGTGAGCCGGGAGGCCTGGAGCATAGATATGAGGTGGAGCATCTGGGGGCCTCCTGGAGGAGGTGTCCCCTGAGCTCAGTCCTACAGGCACAGGGCAGCTCGGGGTAGAATCAAGCCACGGCCGTGAGCCGAAACAAAGCTCGTCTACACTGCCGCTTAGGCGGTGATTCCCTGGTGCTGGTTTGGGAAGCTCCGTCTCAAGCTCCGTGTCTCTCCCTGCACGCCCGTGACCTTTGCACTTTGGCTGGGAGGACTGGGAGACCCTGGGCTGGGCAGAGAACTCAGAGCTCCAGGCCACCGGCCCAGGCAGGGGACCGGGGCTTCCCCCGCGGGCGGGAGCTGGGTGCCCCGACAGACCTGCGCTGGGAAGACTGCGGGCTGCAGGGCCCCGCCCTGGGCGCCGGCCTGTCTCCCACCCAAGGGCTGGAGGCGTCGGGGCTCTTTCACGGCGGGTCCTTCAAAAACCGTTCGTGTAGGCAGCAGGCACAGCAGGACGACGGTCCCCGCGCTGGTTCAGACTCGGAACCCGCAAGGCGGGCGCCGTCCCCGTTCCGTAGACTGAGGGGGGCAGGGGGCCGCACACGGCCGCGGCCGTGTGCGTCCTGGTGGGCTCGCCCCGCGCCTCCCCGCTAAGGGCCTCCTCCCGTGCAGCGAGCATGACCTGGGGGAGGACATCTACGACTGCGTGCCGTGCGAGGACGGAGGGGACGACATCTACGAGGACATCATCAAGGTGGAGGTGCAGCAGCCCATGGTAAGCGGTAAGCCCCTGGCCCCGCCGCTCCCTGCAGGCACAGCGGAACTGCGGGGTGTCTGGAGGGCGGAGCATCCTGGGGACACCCCACCCCCACCCCGTGGAGGTGTCCCGAGGTGCCCCACGTGTGCTGCCGGGGGGGCTCTCGTCCTTCCTATCCGGGGAGCCCTGGGGTGGTGACTGTGGGCTTGGTCCACCCCACCTACCTCGTCTTGTTCTCTGCGGAGAGCGAGGGGCGGTGCTGGCCCAGTCACCCGCCGTGTGCCTTACGCTGCAGGGTCCGTCCCCACGCAGGCGCAGGCCGTAACCTCTCACCCCTGTGTGTGGCGGGGGTGGGGTGGGGTCTGGCGGGTGGGGGTGGGGCAGGCCGTGGTGCCCTCGGACCCCCAGGCTCCCGAGGGGCTGCCGGGGGCCACTGGCCCACCGTGGGGCTTTCGATGCCCTTGCCTTCCCTGGAGTAACGGGAAATCTCTCGGAAAGCAAACCTCGGTGTTTCCTTCCGTGTGGGAGTAGCCGGCCGATGATGGGGGTAAGAAAAGCCGGGGAACGTAAACAAGTCCCCAGAGGCCTTCCAGGGACCCCCTCCGTCCCCCACCGCACCCTGCCGCCTCCACCCGCGCACATGGGGAGTGATGAGGGGCGGCGGTGGGTACCTGGCACCTGGCCTGCTGCCAAGAGCAGGAATCCCACTGTGCCCTGCAGGGCCTGGCGGCGGCTTCCGTCCCCACCGTCCCCAGGGCTGGGCTCCGCAGAGGATGGGCTCGTTGTTGGGAGCGGAGGGGCAGCTCTGCTCCGGAGCCTTCCGGAAAGTCTGGTATCAGGGCAGGAAGGGCGATCCACGGCCCCTGCTGCTGGAGGGCCCAGTCACTCCCCCGCACTGGCCCGAAATGTCCTGGGAAAGCCTAGAGAGCCTTCCGGGTTTGGCCGTGAGCTCCGAGCGGGGCCCTCGCTTCCACGTCCCTTGAAGGCTGGGATCCTGGGGTGCACATGAGCACGTGGACTCCATGCCTGGGGCCTGCTCGGAGGGTCCCCGCCCCTAGGCCGAGCAGGCTGTCTCTGTGGGGACCCCTCTATGCCTGGCCAGAGACAACAGGGCGGGCAGTCCTGGAGCCTGCTGCTGTCCCTGGTTCTGAAGCACGTGGGAGGGGACAGGGGGCTGTTTGCAGAGCCTGCAGGTGGGGGAGCCATGCACGGCATCCTAACGCCCAGCCCTGGTCCTAACGCCCGGTGCTTTCAAGCTGTCCAGTAGATCGGGGGCTGGGGGACTCATGCTTCCTGCCAGGGTCCTTTGAGACAAGACAGCTGGTTTTATCTCCTCCCCGGTCATGTCTGGAACTACCCAAAGGGTCTGAGTGGAAGGTCATGAGATGGTGACTTCCTCCAAGAAAGAGAAAGCCAGGGGACGGCAAGTGCCACTTGCAGAGCCCAGGCGTGGGGGAGGCGCTGTGGGACCCCGGTCCCCGAGCCATCTCCTCTCCGCCCAGCCCGGCCCGCAGAGGGGCTGCACCCTGACTTCCAGGCTGTTGGCTGACTTGGGGGGAGGGCGTCCTGGATGTCCCCAGGCACAGCGTAGGAGGACAGAGTGGCCCCACTAACCGGTGCTGTCTCCTTTGTCTCCCATGCTCGCAGATTAGGTACATGCAGGTAAGTGGCCCGTAAGGGGAGGCCGGGGCCGTTCTGCCAGCACCACCTTCCCGGCCTCTGGGGGAGGCCCCAGACCTCCTTGGGAAGGCTCGGGACCCTGTCTCCAGGGTGACGCCATCAGGCACATGTGGTTTCGGGGGATCGTGCACCCCAATACCCGTTGTGAGGCCCCTAGCTGGGCTGGGCCTGGGCTTGGGAAGGAGCCTCGGGGGCTCCCACTTGGCCTAGTCTTGAAAGTTGCCCTGGAGAGCTGGGCCTGGTGGACTCAACCGGGACCTTGGGCACTGCTTAGAGGACGGTGACGGTCTCAGGGCCGACACAAGTAGTGGCAGCTCACAGCTGCCCGCACCGTTTCCACAGAGCCTCCTGCAGAGAAGGTTCCCTCAGTATAGGGGAACCCAAGGGCGGTGTTGGGGAAACCCGCCCCTGCCCCAGTGCCGGTCCCCCGCCCGGCGGCCAGCTGTGTCCTCCTGGAGGCGGGTGGCCCTGCTCTGGAGGCGTGACCCCAGTGACCCTGCCATCTTGGGTGCCCTAGGTGGACTCGTTATGGGGCAGCCTGGTCCATGGGGTGCTTGGCTCTGGGACTCCTGCGTGGTGGTGGGCGTGGCCCCAGGGAGCACCGCCCACCCCGTAGCGAGGACCCGTGCGCTCAGCAGGTGCTACGGCGAGTCCTCCCTTGCGCCCTGGAGGGGGCGGCTTCCGAGGCCCCAGTGTGGGGGAGAATCGAGACTCAGATCACAGGAACAGGAGCCTGGGGTTCTGGAAGCCTCCAGGCCTTGCTCGGCACTGTCCCCACATTGCATACCTGCCCCGTGCCTCAGTTTCCCCATCGGCAAGATGGATGGGAAGGCCCCGGGCCGCCTGTCTCCCTTCTTGCCTCACCGTTTAACCCCCAGAGATCTCGCCGCCAAACCCCAGAGGCGTCCTCTTGTCGAGAGGGGCGGGTGGCCGGGCCTTGCGGTGTGGGTGGCTGGCGGCCCGGCCCGCGGGGGTCCTGGCACGTGTCTCCTGTCCCTCCTCCAGAAGATGGGCATGACTGAGGATGACAAGAGGAGCTGCTGCTTGCTGGAGATCCAGGAGACCGAGGCCAAGTACTACCGGACGCTGGAGGACATCGAGAAGGTGAGCGTGGGCCACCGGGCGGCGGCCGTGGCTGCCTTGTGTCACCGCGGGGCCTCAGGTCTCCTGCAGTGCGGTCGTGAGGCCAGGACGTGGGCAGCTGTGCCCTGGGGCCCGGGGGCCGTCTCAGCCCTGCCGTCGGGCACCTCTGCACAGAGGAGGTGGCCGTCCCAGCACCTGCTGCTCTGAGCCCAGGTGCATGTGCCCACTGACATGTGTGTGCCACCGAGGGCCATGCCTGCCCTCTCTGCTCTGCTTCCCTCTGTGACCTGGGACCAGCAGCCACCCCAGGCAGCCGGAGCGTCCCGAGTGGAACGCGGTGGGGCTGGTAGCCTGCGGCAGACTCAGGGAAATGGCCGTTCTGCCTCCGAAGTCCCCTCTCCCTCTGCCCGCCGAGCTCCTGGGACACAGGTGGCTTCACCTGCCCCACCCCCTCCGGCCCCTGTGTCCTAGGAGGCCTGGCTTTAGGGCTTTGCCCTGTCACTTAGGTGTCCTCGTTGCCAACTGCCCGTGCTCACTGGGGCGAGACAAACAACACTGTTTTTAAGATAGAATCTCCCTGGTTGTGGAGTCCAGGGTGGCTGTGATGGGGACACCTAAGTGAGTCCTTCACTGTCCAGGGCAGTGGGGTGGCTCCCCCCAGGAGACCCGGGGTGCGCCTTGGGCCAGGCCTGCCATGCTCTGGCTGGGCCCTTCCTGCTGCCCCACCCAGCGCCTGGTGCCTGTCCCCCAGCCCATGCCCCATGGTCAGACATAAACCCACTGCACAGCCTGGTCCAGGGCCCCCTGCCCCAAGGCCAGGACACAAACCCATTGCACAGCCTGTCCCAGGGCCTCCTGCCCCAAGGCCGGGACACATACCCGCTGCATAGCCTGGCCCAGGGCCTCCTGCCCCATGGCCGGACACACACCCACTGCACAGCCTGGCCCAGGGCCTCCTGCTCCAAGGCCGGGACACATACCCGCTGCACAGCCTGGCCCAGGGCCTCCTGCCCCAAGGCCAGACACAAACCCACTGCACAGCCTGGTCCAGGGCCCCCTGCCCCATGGCCAGACACAAACCCACTGCACAGCCTGGTCCAGGGCCCCCTGCCCCAAGGCCAGGACACAAACCCACTGCACAGCCTGTCCCAGGGCCTCCTGCCCCAAGGCCGGGACACATACCCACTGCATAGCCTGGCCCAGGGCCTCCTGCCCCATGGCCAGACACACACCCACTGCACAGCCTGGCCCAGGGCCTCCTGCCCCAAGGCCGGGACACAAACCCGCTGCACAGCCTGGCCCAGGGCCCCCTGCCCCCTTGAAGCGCAAGCTCTTTGTCATCCTGGTCATGCCATCTTCTGGAGGAGGGACAGGAAAACGTGCCAGGGACCCCGCGGCCGGGCTGCCGCCGCCGCACCGCAAGCCCGGCCACCTCCCCTCTCGACAAGAGACCCTGGGTTGGCGACAGAATCCTGGGGTTAAACGGTTAGGCAAGAAGGAGAAAGGCGGCCCGGGCTTCCACATTCTTGCCGATAGGGAAACTGAGCACGGCAGGTACGCAATTGGGACAGTGCGAGCAAGCTGGGCTTCCACCGGCTCCTCCTTGATCTGAGTCAGATTCTCCCCCACACTGGGGCCCTCGAAGCCCCAGTGCGCAAGGGAGGACTCGCCGTAGCACCTGATGAGCGCACATGTCCTCGCTACGGAGTGGGCGGTGCTCCTGGGCCACCGCCCACCACCACCAGGAGGTCACAGAGCCAAGCACCCCAGGACCAGGCTGCCCCCATAAACGAGTCACTAGGGCACCAAGATGGCAGGTCCACTGGGGTCACGCCCCAGAGCAAGGGCAAACCCGCCTCCAGGAAGGACACAGCTGGCCGCCGGCGGGAGCACTGGGGCAGGGCGGTTTCCCCAACACGCCTGGGTTCCCTATACTGAGGAACTTCCTCTGCAGAGGCTCTGGGGAAACGGGCGGCAGCTGAGCTCCACTACATTGGTCGGCCCCCGAGACCGTCGCCATCCTCCAGCAGTGCCAAGTCCGGCCTGAGTCCACCAGGCAGTCTCCAGGGGCAACGTGCAAGACTAGCAAGCGGGGAGCCCGAGGCTCTCCCAAGCCAGGCCCAGCCCAGCGAGGGGCCTCACAACGGTATGGGTGCACGATCCCCCGAAACCACATGTGCCTGACGGCGTCACCGGAGACAGGTCGACCTCGAAGGAGTTGGGGCCTCCCACAGAGGCCGGAAGGTGGGCTGGAGAACGGCCCCGGCTCCCCTTAACGGCCATTACCTGCATGTACCTAATCTGGAGCAATGGAGACAAAGAGACAGCACCGGTTAGTGGGGCCAACTCTGTCCTCCTACGCTGATGCCTGGGACTCCAGGACGCCCTCCCCGCAAGTCAGCCAAACAGCCTGGATCAAGGCGCAGCTCTGCGGGCCGGGTGGGCGAGAGGAGATGACGCGGACCGGGGTCCACACGCCTCCCCACGCCTGGGCTCTGCAAGTGCACCTGCGTCCTGGCGTTTTCTTTCTTTGGAGGAAGTCCATCTCACGACCTTCCACGCAGACCTTTGGTAGTCCAGACATGAAAGGGGAAGAGATAAAAACAGCTGTCTGTCCTCAAGGACCCTGGCAGGAAGCATGAGTCACCAGCCCCCGATCGACTGGACAGCTGAGAGCCCGGGCGTTAGGACCCGGGGCTGGGCGGTTAGGATGCCGTGCATGGCTCCCCACCTGCAGGCCTCTGCAAACAGGCCTGTCCCTCCCACGTGCTCAGAACAGGACAGCAGCAGGCTCAGGAACTGCGGCCCTGTGCCTGCCAGGCATAGAAGGGCCCCAGAGACAGCCTGCTCGGCCCCTGGGGGGGGACCTCCGAGCAGGCCCCAGGCATGGAGTCCACGTGATCATCTGCACCAGGGATCCCAGCCTTCAAGGGACGTGAACGAGGGCCCCCTCGGAGCTCAACGGCCAGACCAGAAGGCTCTCTAGGCCTTTCCCAGGACGTTTCGGGCCAGCCGCGGGGGGAGTGACAGGGCCCTCCCAGCAGCCGGGGCCGTGGATCGCTTTCCTGCCCTGATACCAGATTTCCGGAAGGCTTCGGAGCAGATAGCTGCCTCCGCTCCCAACAACGACCATCCTCTGCAGAGCGCAGCCCTGGGGACGGGGGGGGCAGGGCTTCCGCTTACCATGCTGGCGCACCCACACCTTGATGGATGGTCCATCGTAGATGTCGCCTCCGTCTGCACGCAGCAGTCCTAGATGTCTCCCCCAGGTCAAATGCCTGATGCCGGGAAGGAGGCCCTTAGCGGGGGAAGCGCGGGCGAGCCACCAGGACGCACACGGGCCGCGGCAAGTGCGGCCCCCTGCCCCCTCAGTCACGGAACGGGACGCGCCCGCCTTTGCGGTTCCGAGAATGAACCCAGCGCAGGGACCTCGTCCTGCTGTCCTGCTTGCCTACAACCGAACGTTTTTTGAAGGACCGCCCGTGAAAGAGCCCCGACGCCATCCAGCCCTTGGGGGAGACAGGCCGGCGCCAGCGGGCCCTCAAGCCCGCAGTCTTCCAGCGCAGGTTCTGGTCGGGCACCAGCGCCCGCCGCGGGGACCCCCGTCCTGCCTGGGCGGTGGCCTTGGCTTCGAGCTCTCTGCCCAGCCCAGTGTTTCCCAGTCCTCCCAGCCAAATGCAAAGGTCACGGGGCGTTGCAGGAGAGACACGGAGCTTGAGACGGAGCTTCCCAAACCAGCACCAGGGAATCACCGCACTAAGCGGCAGTTGTGACGAAGCTTTGTTTCGGCTCAACGGCGTGCGATTCTACCCCGAGCTGCCCTGGCCTGTGACTGGCTCAGGGGACACCTCCTCCAGGAGGCCCAGATGCTCCACCTCATATCTATGCTCCAGGCCTCCCAGCTCACCGTGCGGGTCTCGGCTGTAAGTCCAGTGAGTTCTGCAGTGCCTGCTGACCCACGCAATCTCCCTGGAAAATCACTTTCATCCTTCTGAATCCACCCCCGACATGGCAGGTATCAGCCAAGTTTCCACGGAGCCACAAATAGCCAACCACCCACCGCCCCCCCCAGGCCCCATGGGTCACTGTGCCAGAGCCCAGGGGCAAGGAGCACCCCAGGCCTGCGGCCGAGGTCTTTGGCTCTGCTGTGGGGTGCATGGAGGGAGGCCAGCCCTCAGCTCGTGGCGGGGAAGTACCCACAGCGGGGAGCACTCAACAGCGGGACACCTCACAGCCCTGGACCCTCACAGCCGGGAGCACCTCAAGCCGGGAGCACCTCACAGCAAGGAGCCTCACAGCCGGGGAGCACCTCACACTGGGAGCACCTCACAGCAAGGGGAGCACCTCCAGCCGGGGAGCACCTCAAGCCTGGAGCCCCTCACAGCTGGAGCACCTCTCACGCAAGGCGAGCACCTCACAAGCCGGGAGCACCTCACAGCGGGAGCAACCTCACAGCCGGGAGCACCTCACAGCCCTGGAGCCTCACAGCCTGGGGAGCACCTCACAGCAAGGGAGCAACCTCAACAAGCTGGGGAGCACCTCACAGCCGGGGCTCACGGCGGGCCGGCAAAGCAACTCCCAGCGAGGCACGGAAAGGCCGCGGGGCACCGCCCACACCCAGCGGCAGCACCAGGGGCACAACGGAGAGAGGGAAGGCCGGCGGGGGTGAGAACCTGCACCTCTCACTCTTCTCAGGCTGGGGGACCGGGTGAGGGCGGTGTCTCTGTTCGAGGACGGCAAGGCAGCCAGAGGGGGCCCCGCAAAGCCCCACGGCCTCCCTGCAGGACCTCCGAGCCTCCCCAACGCTGTCCCAGGACACCGCCCCACTCCGCGCACGGCAGCCGGGTTTCTAGGCCGAGGGACTTGCGGGGCTCCTTCCAGCAGGTGCAGCCCCGGACCCACAGCCTGCTGGGAACTCCGACGCCGGAACGGAGGGCGAGACAGGGAGCTCCGGCTGCTGGGCCGGACAGCACAGGGCAGCGAGGCCCCCACGCCCTGGAGACAAGACCAGCGCTTTCCGC